TCAGTTTTCCCTCTCTTTTCCATAATTTAAATGGTGTACCCAGTGCCAGGTCTCATTGACACAGTCTTTTACCCCTTAAGAAAATGTATACAACGTGCTGACCTGACTTCAGTCTCTTTTGCCCAGTCACAGCTTGAATTCTGGAGCTACCCAAAACGTTTCCTAAACAAAAGCTGAACCCTTGAAGGAACAYTGCCCGGTTCTGCTATCCCTAAAGAAGGGGAAAGGCAGAGAGGTGTCCAGGCCCTTTGACCCTAGAACTTTGCACATTCTGACGTTTAATTTTCATGGATTCTGTTAACAATAGCACCAATTTGGACTCAGTAATTGAAGAAATGACTATTACTGGTTACAGAGAACTTGGCCTGTAGTGACAAATGCCATGCAATAAATACCTGAAAAAGAGGAAAACAATTCTTTTTCTTTTTTTTTTTTTTTTTTTTGTGGGTGGGGAGTACTAGGGATTGAACTCAGGGTCATATCCCCAGCCCTTTTTATTTATTTATTTGATTGTTTGTTTGTTTGTTTATTTAAATTATGAGTCAAGGCCTCACTAAATTGCTTAGGATCTTGCTAAATTGCTGAGACTGACCTTGAACTTGCATTCCTTCTGCCTCAGTCTCCCAAGCTACTGGGATTACAGGTGTGCACCACCAAGCCCAGCTACAATACTATTTCTTTTTTAACCTGGTCTTCTTCTGATCTTCCAATGACAATTTGTCTGCTTGGAACTCAGCTTCCTTTACATGAGATAAAGAAAACAAGATGCTCCCCCCAACAGACATGCACACTTTTTTTTTTCCTCTAGAGAAAGTCCTTCTCAGCTTTGCTGGCAATTTAAATGCAGTGATCATACCCATTAGCTTCTCTATCATTGTAATTGTTGTTAATTGTTATAACTGTTTTAGTTATTAGTGGTGTCATTATTGCTCTAGGTCCTCTGTCTGTTTTATGCTGAATATATTAGTGCTTTGCTTTTGAATTACCAGGCTTTATTTAGTGCAGAGTTACGTTTTTTGGAGAGACATTGAGAAATGCTGGCATTAAGCTTTATTCTTTTGTTTTTCATTCCAAATGGACAGACTGGAAAAAAAAAATAATTAGATGGAATAATGTCCTCAAAATGAGAATGAGGATGTTTTGAATTAATTAAATGGTCAGAATACTGCACCATTTCTGATCTCAGGCTGCTGCCAGAGTAGTATAAACCTAAAGAAACCTAAACACAACCCACAGAGGGGAGCCAAGCTCCTGAGCTCTCAATTCCTTTCACTGCTCTGAAGAAGTCAAAGTGTCCACGTGCATTCACCTGTTTGTAGGATAATCTGGACAAGGTTAGGGCAAACCTGAACTAACCCGGCAGGCTTTTGGACCTTCAAGCCCTTTTTGACTGCAGGCTTCAGGAATGAATCCCCCCTCGACCTCACCTCTTCCCCTTTCAAGGTCAGAAAGTAACACCCCCTAGGTTGGGTTTTCGAATGCAGCTGAAGCCTCAGAGAAGCCTTCCTTGACCCCCTCAGACTATGGCAAACTCCCTATTATACATAGTATTCTCAACTTTTTCACAGATACATTGCAATCATAAATAAATAAATATTTACACTATTTGTCCCATGGTGCCTCCCCTACTAGATGGCAGCCTTGGAAGCAAGAACCATGTGTGGTCAGTATGGAATTCCTTGTGTCCAGCACAGTCCCTGGCATTTTGCAGGTGTCGTGCACATGATTGTTGGATGCTGAGGAATGAATTGTGAAGTTGCACACATATACACATAAATGTAAATCCCTATATGTGTTGCCGGGAAGGGTGGCCTCTAATCCCAGAAACACACTTTGAGGCAGGAGGATCATGAGTTCAGAGCCAGCCTCGGCAACTTAGTGAGRTCCTGAGCAACTTAGTGAGACCCTGTCTCAAAAAAATAAATAAATAGGGCTGGGGTTATGGCTCAGTGGCTGAACTGCTTGCCTAGCACACATGAGGCACTGGGTTCGAGCCTCAAAACCGCATATAAATAAAATAAAGGTTATTGTGTCCACCTACAACTAAAAAATAAATATTTTTTTTAAAAAATAATAATAAATAAATAGGGCTAAGGATGTGGCTCAATGGTTAAGTCCCCTGGGTTCAATCCCTAGTACCAAAAAAAAAAAAAAAAAATCGTGTTAAATAGGGAGTCTRCAATACAGAATCCAGTCTTGCCCAGATAAAGAATCATTCCTTACTTAACTTCTAAATCCAGAATACTACTAGCCAGTAAGTTCAATATTTTCTCCCTTTAGCCCTTCATTCTGCCTGTTTTTCAGAGCTATCATAAAATGGGTCTAGTTCTGATTATTCTTGGACTAGTCTATACTATCTCTGGATTCTGGAACTCCAAAGTCCTTTTTTATCTTTAGTTTTTCCTGGAAGGCTTCTGTTTTCCTCCTAGCTTCCTGCTTTCCCTGTGATTTATGCTTTCAGCATAAGTCTTTTTTCAGGTATTTTTCTCAGGTCTCCATATGCCCAACGTCAAGTCACTTATATATAAAAACCAAAGGTGGCGGGTGCGGTGGTGCACGCCTGTAATTCCAGGACTTGGGAGGCTGAGGCAGGAGGATCGAAAGTTCAAAACCAGCCTCAGCAAAAGTGAGGCACTGAGCAACTCAGTGAGACCCTGTCTCTGAATAGAGCTGGGGATGTGGCTCAGTGGTTGAGTGCCCCTGAGTTCAATTCCCAATACCAAAAACAAAAACAAGGGCTGGGGATGTGGCTCAAGCGGTAGCGCGCTAGCCTGGCATGCATGCGGCCCGGGTTCGATCCTCAGCACCACATACCAACAAAGATGTTGTGTCTGCCGAGAACTAAAAAATAAAAAAAAAGAAAAAGATGGTATTTATCATTTTAGAAGCTGTCCCACATCCAGGCACATTATGGGGAACAGTACCTCAAAGGGACCCTCTGGTAGGCCAGAAAAACCCTTATTAACTTTGTCAGTCTTCATACCATTCAGAAATATCAAGTTAGGTTTTGAAAATCTATTTTTATAAAGATGATTTTTCTCACCAGGTTTAGGAGGCTGAGGCAGGAGGATCACAAGTTCGAAGCCAGCCTCAGCAAATTAGTGAGGCCCTAAGCAACTTAGAAAGATCCTGACTCTAAATGAAATATAAAAAAGGTCTTGGGATGTAGCTCAATAGTGAAGTGCCCCTGGGTTAAATCCCTGGTACCAAAAACAAAAACAAAACAAAACAAAACAAAAAGAAGGATTTTCTCTACYATATATAAATCCATGAAGAATATTGATGTTAATATAATTCTCATTCCTAAATTTAGTCAAAATCTTGGGATGATTTATCAGCTCTGTAACAACTGCAAAGGCATAATATATCCTCTAGAAAACACTTTTCAGCTAGTGATATTTCTCTACTGTTTCATGCACTGATATCCCTAAAAATATATGCTTTGTCTTTTCAATAGTTAGCTTTTTTCTCCCAACTTATTTTTCTTTAAAATATATTCTTAACTCCATGGCAGAATGTTTTCACTGTAGTTATTTTGTTTGCTGCCCTCTATTGTCTACTGCATATACAAACAATTTTCTGTGTAAAACAAAAAAAAAAAAATGCCTAAGTTCCTCTATGATTGACATTTTTACTTCTGTTTGAAATATCTGAGTCTTAACTAATAGCTCTATCCCTCCTCTGTTTTTGTGCACTTTAAGATTCCTACTAAAGTTCTTACCCAGAGACATGTAGAGATTTTGTTTCCCTATGCAATGTTTGAATTGTTCATAAGTTAGGAACAAGCAGAAAAAAGCAAATATAGCTGGGCTCCTGTGCCCTCATCCACCTTCTTGCCCTCATCTATTCCCATTCTCAGCAACCAATACCATTACTGCTCATAGAAGGGTCCAAACAAATGAAAGGAAAGGTGGAAATTGGTAGAATAGAATCCAAAAAAAAACACATACAATTTAATTAGAACACAGGACTCCTGAATCCCATCAATCAGATTTCACCTCTGGGAGGTGCTTGGCTCACAGATCTCATACAGAGAGTCCTCAGGAACAGGGAGCATCCTTGGTCTAGTGGGCATTAGCTCTCCTGCCATTCAAATCCCCAGATTCTCTCCCACTTTGTACTCTAGTGTTTAACCTTTCCGGGTAGAAGAGGATCAATACAAATTCTTCATTGTTAAGAATCGATGGCTGTCCTGTGGCATCATTGCCAATGAGTCTTGCTGAGAAGCCCAGTAAATCTCTCCAGTGCTTCTAAAGCTTGGTTTGTCATCTTCAGTTGCTTTCATTTTTAATGCAGATCACTTTGGTTTCTGTTCCCCTGGGGGCTTGCAGATAAATCTTGGCAGACATGTTCAGGGTCTACAAATGAGATGCTGGAAAAGGGCCAGCCCACCCAGAATTTAGTTGTAATAGATGAGACACCCCCATGGTTCCACTTAAGGACTGGGCTATTTGTTTTAGTATTTATTGGTGATTACCTCATATAGTACCTGGGTGGAAAGTGCCCAGGATGAAGCTCCCGTGTAACAGAGGAGGCCAAAATGTGAGCTGTGATACAGAAGCAGCTGGCTGATTCAGCCTCTTGTGAATAGCAGGAGTCAGAGACTTGTACCTTCAAATGCATAATGAAGAGATGAGCTAGGTTGTTTAGATGTCCCGGATCAAGAAAGTCTGGAGGGAAACTTCTTCATGCTGCTTATTTACAAACCAACTGAAAAATTACCTACCTGACTTTCTTTTATTAATAAATAAATATATTATCATATTGTTGAACAGCATCCTACTAGGGGTGATCTGTAAATATTTAATGTTAGTTAATGATCTCCTTCTCCCATAATCCTTTGCTCCTGCTGAGTGCTTGGCTGTATTTCATCTGGACCCCCCTGAATATTAGGTTTCCTAGGGGCCCTAGCAGAACCCTAGTTTCCATTTGCAACAAAAATGTGGCTCCATGAAAAAGACAGAGTCCTTTTCACTTTGATTTCTCTTCTCTTTGATCAGTGGACTATGCCAGTTATTACCAAGGACTATGGGATTGTTATGGTGAACAGCCAGACGAACTGTCCTTCCAACGGGGTGACCTCATTCGCATTCTGAGCAAGGTAAGGACATATAGAGTATGGAACTTGGATCCAAAGTTGATTTTTTCACTCTTGAAGGTGTAGTCACCACAACCAGAATTATTCTGTTATAACACTTTTCAGGATAAGTTCCATGGCTCCCTCACACACAGAATAAATTTCCATTTATTTATAATTGCCAGGGGACATTTTAATTGAAAATTCAGATTTAGAGATCAATTTTCAAATTTCAAAATACAATAAAGTAAACATAACCTTAAAGTTATGCCAATTGAAATCTGATCTTTTTCAAGGACTGGGATACTTAAAGGTCATTGCTGTGTACATAATTTATTACTATATAATACTATTGAAAACATTCCGGCTAAGTAAGCTGCCTTCTTATTTCATTTGTAGATAAATGAGACTATAATATAATTACCTATGGGGGGAGGAGTCAGAACTAGTTAGCTCAATTGGTTTGACCAAGTGCTGATAAGGCCAAGATAGTGAATCCAATCCTGCAAAGGCCAGCTAACTCCCTTCTCTTCCTCAATCAAGAGTTAACCCATAGACCCAGCTGACCATCTCACAAATGGTATTGTTGATCAGAAAGGAATAGGGTTAAAAAAAAAAGATGGATTATTGCCAATCCTTTACTAAAGTAAAGATTCCAAATTCATGGGTTATAGTTTGAGGATCCATCCTTGTAAAAGACCACCCATGGTCTATAAGCAGGCTAAGATAATAAGTTCTGTCCCTAAAGATAGTATTAAAAAGGTCTCTCTTTCTATGCAGCCAATCGATATCTACAAACATACTTTTGAAATAGGTACAATTTGCTCTTTAATTGCTGAGTATGTGGATTTCGTAAAGGAAAATTGAAAGCCCATTGTGTTGTTAACTCATCATTTACCATTTATCTTTATTCTGTGAATGTTACTACCTAGGCCAAGGGCTTGTCTGGGGTTTGAAATATACAATAAGCTCCTTGAGAAACAGACCAGATCTGTACCTGAGGTATCTTTCAGTGGTTCCAGTGAATCAGGCCTCTTAAACAAGGACTAAATTCGAGCTAACCCTTTGCAGGAGAGTAGGAGGCCTACAGGCCCTGATGAGTGAGAACATAATCTTCTAGTGATTTCTCCTGGATCCCTAACTCAACACCACCCTAGTGCCATTTCGGTGCAGCTCCAATACACCAAGAATAAATTGGAAGCAAAGAAGGGAGTGGACATTGGCCTGATTGGTATTTCAAATGCCCGAAAGCAAGGTTTACCGTGTAATAGAATTTGTGTACATTACCACGCTGGCATTACAGGGGTAATCGAGTTATCCACTCAGGTGTGACCAGGCCTCTGTTTGCCCAGAGCCTGCAGGTGAACAAATTAACTGTTTACATTGTCTGGAGGTGCCTGCAGCAGGAGGGGGGGAGAACAGAGCCAGACTGTCTGCTGGCCCTCTCTCTCAGTCATGATTATTTTGTTTGTTTTGCATGTCTTTTGCCTTTGTTAATGGCTTCTCACTGGGGGTCCCTTTCCTCCAGTTAGAAGGGGCTGTGCAGTGACCTGTCCTGCAATATAGAGCTGTCTGAGGTTACCATGGCTATGGTATTTTTAAGAAATTCCCGAGAAACATGGGGGAAACAAACTCCACATGTTTTTTTTAAACCAACTTCTCTTCCCCTCCTCCATTACTAAAAGCTAATAAGTCAGAGTTTAATTCAGTGAAAATACCTTACTGCTCTGGTTCTATCAGCTTCTTTCTCCTCTCTTCTGGAAGGTTCTGAGTCCATTTGGATCCCTAATCATCCTAATATTTCTCACCACCACCACCCCAAGGGTGTACCATCCTCCCTTCCCCATGTTGCTAATCTCTGCTTATCTGAAGAGGAAACCAGAAGGTAGGAACACAATAAAATTTCCCTCATAGAGGTTCCTTCCAGTTAATGTTGGTTTGGGGAGCATCTCAAATAGGATTTGCCTTGATTCTACTACCTAACTCAGAGTTCTTGGGCAAAAAGGAACCTTAAAAGACGACCCAGTCCATTTCTTTGCTTCTAAGAAGCACAAATGAACCAATTCAGGCAGAACATTCTGCTACCATCCCTAGCCATTTTTCTATTCAGAAGTTCAGTTGTTAATACTCTAGGATCGTCTCTCCTATGGATCATAAATTCATCCCACTTTAGCCAGTAGCACCTTTGTTGAGCATCAAAGCCCCACTGTCTAGAAACCTGGGGAAGCCTTTTCCCCAAGAAAGCACAAGATGCAACCATGTGGCTCAGCTTACCTGGATTCATTTCTTCATTTGTGAAATGAGAAAATCGTGTTGGACAACATGGAAGGTTTTCTGTACCTCAGACATTTCCCCTTCGGACACAGTGGGCCTGACCCTGTAAAACYGCTTACAGGAGCCCCACACAAAAATGTGCCTTAGCTTCAATTACTCACTCAGATTAAACCACAACAAAAGTTTCAGCTACTAGTTCTTTTGTCTTCAGATCTCATAGATGCATCTGATTTCCTCTCTCTCTTTGTCTGATAAAAGGAATATTTTTTTTTATTGGTTGTTCAAAACATTACAAAGCTCTTGACATATCATATTTCATACATTAGAATCAAGTTGGTTATGAACTCCCAATTTTACCCCAAATACAGATTGCAGAATAAAAGGAATATTGTGAAGAGAGGATTGGACTGGAAGAAGAAAGTCTCCTGGGTAGGGAAGTGGACAAGGAAGTGAGGAAGGGAGGATGGCAGATTTTAGTCCAGGACTCCTACTTGCTTCCTGCTGCTTCTTTATTTGTTTTTTCCTTTTTTTCTGCGGGCAGGGGAGCCCTCATGCATGTTAGATAAGTCCTCTACCGTTAAGCTATATCCCCACCCCCTGTTTGCTGTTTCTCAATAGACACCCAAGTAAGATCCAGCCTTGAATCCTAGAATCCTAGGCCCAACCTCAGGTGAATTTTTGAGTCTTGCCTTTGGGTAGGAGTGATCCCAGAAAGAGAAGAATTTATCCCAAAAAAGAAAAAGAAGTCAGGCACAGTGGCACAGCATGCCTGTAATCCTAGTGACTAGGGAGACTGAGGCAGGAGCATTGCAAGTTCAAATCCAGCCTCAGCAATGAAGTGAAGCCCTAAGCAACTTAACAAGAGCCTGCCTCAAAATAAAAACTAAAAAGAGGCCTGGGGTTATGGATCAGTGGTGAAGCACCCCAGGGTTCAATCCCTGGTATGAAAGAAAGGAAGGAAGGAGGAAAGAAGGAAAGAAAAGAGAGAGAGAGAGAGAGAGAGAGAGAGAGAGGGGAGAGAGAGAAAATGGGAGACAGAGAAAAAAATTCTCCAGAGATGATTGCCTGAAGAAAGATGCACCCCATAGTTAACCAAATGCCCATTGCCTGTCCTGTTCTCAGAGAAACAAGTAACAACAGATGCCTTATTTATGTGACCCTGGAGAAAGTCACTTAACCTTGCTAATCCTCAATTTCCTCATCTGTAAAAAGTGGGATAATTTTTATTCACAGGGTCATAGTGAGGCTTCCACTAGAGATATGGGTAAAGAAGAGCCCAGCACCCAGGAAATGGAAACTAGCATTATATTCTGCTAACTTCTACTAATAATAAACCTTTTAGACCCATGTTGGGCACATACTAGGAGTTTACTAAATTATTGGTGAATTCATAGAGAAAATAATATGGTCCACATGCCAAGAACTCTTCATAGAGATGTTCTGAGACACAGTAGGCTCTCACTTCATGTAGAAAACTACCCATTGTAGAAGACTGTGTGGAAAGTCACTGTGCTTTTACTGGTCCAACAGATTTCATCACTGACATCTGATAGTCTCCAAAGTTCTCTTCCAGGAGATGCCAAAGCTGTGTACCTAAGCTCCAGAATAGGAACTAACAAGCAGTCAGCAGGAACACTCCTGCTGACCTCCCCACAACCTGGCCAAGCAATCCTCAGGCCCCACACAGCTTCATGCCCACTTAATTCACTGATTTCCAATTGAGGTCTTAAAATATATTAATGGGAAATTTTAATAATGAAGCAGATCTGAGCCTCCAGTGAATGTTCCTGCATTCCTTTTGGGCCCAGATATTTCTTTCTGAACAGCCTTCTCTGGGAAGGGACTGAACTTCCCTTCCTCCCTGGAGCCAGGACACAGCTCAGGCCACAGCGGGGTGTTTAGCGCTCTTCAGTGGCTCCAGATTGTGGCGCTGGTGCCGGTCTCTTCATATGTAACCGATGGCTCCTGAGAGCCTGCCTCTCAGTAAATTACTTCCCACGATGCCAGCGACCACCGCAGAATTCAAGTTCGAATAGAGCAGGAAAAAGGTGTTTGAAAGGCCTGTTCACTCAGCTGCATTTTAATTTCCTTTTCAATCTTGTCCCAATTAATTTCACAGAATTAATCTCACAGAAGCAAACTCGGCAGCACCGAGGCTGCGGTTTTAGTGAGGCGGTCGCTCTGCCTGAACATGAAATAGGAGCTAATATAAAAATCCATCTGCTGTGTTTGAAATACACGCCGGCTGCTGCTCGGTCCTGTCTGACATTCCAAACATCAACAGCGGGGAAAAGTGATTTGGGGGTTAGTGGCCATCAGTACTTGGCAGGGGTTCAACAACAGGTGTACTCCAAAAATCCATTCAGCCTGGGCACCAGGCATGACAGGGCAGGTGCTGAATCACCCTCCGTGCGATAACACCGTGCCCTGGCTTAGTTCCTTTCATCTGAGGATCATAAGGCCCTTCTGTGGACCTGATCAGCACCACTATGGTCACTTGTTATATAAGGAGGAGAAAGAAAGGTAAGAAGCCTCTATTTGGATAAGACCAGTCACGAGACCCAGCTTTCAGGGTAGTGACCCTGACTTAGTTCCAAGGTCTTTTACTGGGGAACCATTCCTTCTAAATAATAAAAGTGCTTCTTCCATTATTTGAGATCACTCGTATGTGAATGCCCATTTGAAAAATAAGGTTCATGTTCCAAAAGTAATTTGTGATGGTAACATGAGCTGTCCAATAGATAAAGGCA